TCCTTCTGTGGCTCTCATCCTCATCCTTGGCTCCTCCTGGTCACAGGACAGCTGCTGCAGCTCCTAGCATCACATCCTCACACATCTACAACCAAACAAAAAGGAAGGCAATGGGCTCTCTTGCATATTTCTTATCATCAGTGAGACCTCATGAGCTGGGCTTTCCTCCAGGAGCCCCCTACAATGAGCAGGCCCTGAGCCAAGACTCAGGCCTCCTGGGGATTCTGCACAGCAGCCAAGGAAGCTGGAAAGGAAGGCGGCTTCCTGAGGTCCCGTGTGCAAAACCCAGTCAGCTGAATCCAGGCTGTAGGCCCAGCACCAGCAGTCAGGCCTGCAGGGGTGCAGGAGAGCAGGTGAGTCCTTCCAGGACCACCCATTCTACTCACCGCCATACCTGCAGGGCCAGCACACAGAAGGTGCTCAGTCATGTCTGCAGACTGAATGAAGGACTGAACAGATGGAGGGTTGTGGGCTGGGGCCTTTGAAGGGTATTGAATGCCAGGCTCAGCAGCTGAGGGTGACTGGTGCGGGCTGCAGAGGGAGCAGGTTGGAGTTCGAACCCCAGCGGGCCAGTTCTGAGGTACACAGCGAGTGCTCAGTAAGAGACGCTCTGATCTATTATACTTGATATCAGTCTGAGCCGTGCGGTCCCAGGAGCTGCTGTCTCCCGGAGGGCTTCCGCCAGCTCTGCTGAACTGGACTGCCAAGTCCATGGCACTGATCAATGTGCAATAGGTTTGGTCTGCCCGCCAGCCGCCGAGCCCTGCCACATTCTGACAAGACGGATCGGTTTCTGGAATTCTTCAGGGAGGGGTAGGGAGAGAAACAAGCCTCATTTTTCCCTGCCTCATCTTTAAAAGTGAAACCTCAAATAAACATAAGGGGAAAATCCTCAGTTCAACTCCAAGGAAGAAAATATGTCCTCTTGGTCTTGAGACGAGAAAAGCGGGTCTGTTTCCCTCCAGTCCGACAGCAGAAGGGGCTAGGTGCAACAGACCCAGTTTCCCAGACCCCAAGCTCTTCCCAGCACCTGCAGGCACCAGCAGAGGACAAAGACCGCAGGTCAGACATGACACCCTCTCCACAAACCTTACAGCCAAGTGCAGTGAGGAGGAAACTCAGAGCCGGCATGGGCCTCAGAACGTCCTGATGCAATGCCTCAACTCCAGAGAGAGGGACAACTGAGGCTCAGGATGGCAGGAAAGCCACCAACTACGAGGGGCACATAAAGAAGTGGTGAGGGGCTTAACTTTACATCTACTGATGGCACACCGCACAGAGCCCAGGAGAATGCATGTGTGTGGATTTGTGTACATGCATGCACACGTGTATATGAACATGTGCACACACCAGCACGTATGGGCACGCATGCATGGCTGTGAACACTTATGTGTGTGTACATAAGCGTGCACACGTGGACATACATACCAGTGTAGGTGGGTCGGTGCATACGAATACATACATGTGTACGTGCACAGGTGCACGTGTGCACGCAGGCTTTGTGCAGAAAGGTGGTTCAAGACAAGCTCCTCTCAGCCCATGCTGAGGCTACTCCAAAGTAGACTGTACCCTGGTGTCGTCCAGGAGAGGGGGACCAGATCTCTTCACAGGGGCAGCCAGGACCTGGTACTCAATGTGGGAGCCTGGGACCCAATGTGCCCACCACCGTGTGGCCCTGGCTTCACCTACCCTGCCCTCTGTGCTCCATTCATCACGGGATGCTCTCTTTCCACAAGGCTTTCCTTCTGAAATGCACCTGTCCCCCGCCCCCCCCAACACGTCCACGTGCACACGGGCACAGACACACCCAGCCATGCCACCAGTGCATCCTGAATCCCATAGTGCACTCACCGTCTCTCCTGCTCTGGTCTGGTCATGGTCACTCCTGAGACAGGCCATCTTTCTGGCATGAGCTGCTGGCTTGTTGCAGGATAATCTTCAGCAGTTTGTCAGGCTAATGTCCCATGTCTGGCAAAGGGGCTTCTAAGGCTTCTTTGCAAACAGTGGCCCTCACTGGGCCTCAGCGTCTCCATATGCTCTGGCTGCACAGCCTGGGGCTCTTGACTAGCAGACTGGGAGGCGGTGCTCCTTTACCTCTCATCCCTGGGCGCTCAGTCCTGGAGATGCCCCTCCTGGTTATGCCAGGAGGTGTGGCCAGCAGCACCAAGACAGCCTGCTGCAGCCGTCCCCAAGGGCTGGAGTCATACACCAATGGGCCTCCAGATGTGAGCGCTGGCCGGGACTTGCTCCTAGGCAGTGTTGGCACTAGGCCCAGATGCTCTGGTCCCCTTTTCCTCCAAATGCCTTGTCTGTTGATGGACACAAGTCTGGTGATGGACCCTGGACACTGGATGGACTGTCCCTTTGCCCCTGCATATCCCCTAAAGTTCTCCTTGCAAGATGAGATCTTCCTGATCTGGAGAGGTCCATGTGGCTGGCTGGCTACTGGTCAGGAGTCACTTCTCCACCATTGTGACTGCCCTTTTCTGGATCCTCCTCTGGTTCCCCACACCTCCAGGACAAAGTCCACCCTGTCCTAGGGAGCATGGCTCAGTGCTTTCACCTTCCTAGGAACTCCCCCTTATTCTCCAAATGCAGTTCTTTTGGTCACCTCCTCCAAGAAGCCTTTCTCCCAAGCTGGGGAGGAACCCAAGGGTCTCATCGAAGCTCATCTCAGTGTAGGGTCCAGTCTGCCCCACACAGCGGGCACCACGAGGCCAGGCTTCCTTCATGGCACACCGTGGTTGGCTCAATGGAGACACTGTGGGGTCTTTCACACAAAGTGCATCCTAAGGTGCCCCAACCCGTGGCCACTATTGGGTCACCAGGACCAGAAGCGCTAACAATGATGGTGGCTCTCCCCTCCCAGGTCACACCTCTCATGTGGCGGCCAGGGCTGTTTGTCCCCCAAGTGTGCAAATGTGCAGAACTGGCACAGGAGACTTCCCACCCCATGCACCACACCAGGGCAGGCCCCCACCCCAAGTGTAGGCTCTGCTGGTGACCAACCAACGTGGTGAACAGGGAGCCTAGAGCTCTGTCACATGCCTTCGAAGATAGCAGTGCCCCTTAGAAAGGCTGGCCAGCCTAGAAGGAAACTTCAGGCCACAAGGCTGATGCAGGTGTTCTCAGGAGCTCAGAGAGAGAAGCAACCCAAACCACCCACATTTCTAGGCCTCACTGGTGCAGGGTCACTCCAAACTCTCCCCAAGATGACCTCCTGGGCACCCAGACTCCATATCCTCTCCCTCTCCTGGTCACAGGATTGGCAGCTTCTCTCCCTCCCCTGCCTTACCCTACGAGGAGAGACCGGGCAGCCCCAGCGTGTTTCTGGACTGTGGGCAAAAGGTCTCTCCTTTCAGTCTTAGCACAGAAATGTCAGGTATGGGAACTCCAACTTGTCCCCTTGGCCACCTCCGTAGAGGTCTGTCTAGCACAAACCTGAGGCTGCCTGGAGGCAGACACAAGTAACCAGCACTCAAGCCCAGAGTGGCAGTACTTCTGTGGACTGAATGGGAGGGCACCCCAACATCCGTTCTCCCTGGAGCCCACTCACGCAAAACTCATGGCCATCACCGGGCATTTGTTTGGGGATTGTCAGAGGCGCTCACTTTGAACATCAGCTCCGCCCCAACCGTTGAACACAGGGTCACGCAGCCTAAGAATTAACTTCAATAATTGCCACCATGAGTGCACAGCTTGGGAGCCTGTCCAGCGCTTCCACAGGCACCGCCGTTATGATTCATGCTCCAGCAGCGCGGAGAGGCGCGCAGAGGAGGGAACTGAGGCCGGCTGAGGAGGTGGCTCTGCAGGGGAGCGCGGACCCCACACAGCAGGACCGGTGCACAGCAGGCGGTGCAGCATCCTCCACCAGGCTGCGAGAGCCTCGCCCTCCAATCAGGCCGCGGACCCCGAGCCAGCGGGTGCAGCGCGCGGTGAGCGCGCCGCGCGCTCCTGTGCCTGTGGCCGGGGGAGGAGAGGAGACGCGTGTCTTAGAAAGATCAGGCTTCTAGAACTCACCACCCAGGCCAGCCAGAGCTCAGTCCAGTCCCGCAGGCTGCAGTCGGCCCTGGAGGGGGCGCCCTCGCCGAGCGCGCGCCCCGCGCCACCGCCTCGGACTCCTCCCCGGCGCCGCGCGGGCAGGTTCGCCAAGGCGGCCGCGGGCTCCGGCTCCGGCTCCGGCTCCGGGCCCGCTCCCCCCGGGCCGGCGGCGCGGGCCTGCCCGGCGCCCCGCCCCGCCCCGCGCGCCCTCCCCGCTGCGCAACTCGCCCAAGTTGGAAGCCGAGCCGGGGCGGCTGCACTCGCGCCGAGCGCGCGGCGGCGGCGGCGGCGAAGGAGGCAGCGGCCGCCGTGGCGGCGCAGCACTGGCGAGCCAGGGAGGCGAGGCGGCGCCCGCACGGCCGAGCGCGGACCGCGGGGGGCGCCCGCGCCGGGGAGCAGCAGGACCGACTCGAGGCGGTGCCGGCGCCCAGCCCGAGAAAGTAAAGTTGAAGCCCGAGGCTGGGCGCGGGGGCCGGGAGGAGTGACAGCCCGCGTCCCGGCGCGCTGAGCCCTCGCCGGACGGATGGGAGGCAGAGCGCCCGGGCCACCGCCGCCGCCTGCAGCCTGTGCCCCGGCCGGGCGCCGGGACCGTGGGGCCGCTCTGGCGCGCCCGCTTGGACGCCGCGTCGCCTTGGGCTCGCCGCCCGGGCGCTCCCTGTGAGCCCGGCCGAGGGCGGGGCCGCGCGAGGACCCCGGGAGCTGTCCCCCTTCCCCCCGCCGCCGCGTCGCCGCTCTCTCCCGGAGCCTCCAGCTCTGCACTTACGCGCGCGGCAGCTGCGGGGAGCCCGGCAGCCACGCTCTCCGGCGCGCCGCCCGCCCGCCCGCCCGCCGGGCCACCACGGCCAAGGGCCGGCTGTGGGGCGCCGCGGTCCCCGGCGGGCGCGCTGGGGGAGCAGGCGGCGATGCGGGCGCCGACCCGGGCTGGGGGGCGCCCGAGCTGCCGCGACTGCGCCCCGGCTCCTGGCAGGACCGCGTAGCTCGCGGGAGGACCATGGCGTCCCCGGCACTGGCGGCGGCGCTGGCGGTGGCGGCGGCGGCGGAGGGCCCCAACGCGAGCGGCGCCGGTGAGGGGAGCGGCGGCGGGAGCGCCAACGCCTCGGGGACCGCCTGGGGGCCGCCGCCGGGCCAGTACTCGGCGGGCGCTGTGGCCGGGCTGGCGGCCGTGGTGGGCGTCCTCATCGTCTTCACGGTGGTGGGTAATGTGCTGGTGGTAATCGCCGTGCTGACCAGCCGGGCACTACGCGCTCCGCAGAACCTCTTCCTGGTGTCTCTGGCCTCGGCTGACATTCTGGTGGCCACGCTGGTCATGCCCTTCTCACTGGCCAACGAGCTCATGGCCTACTGGTACTTCGGCCAGGTGTGGTGTGGTGTGTACCTGGCGCTCGACGTACTCTTCTGCACCTCGTCCATCGTGCACCTGTGCGCCATCAGCCTGGACCGCTACTGGTCGGTGACACAGGCTGTCGAGTACAACCTGAAGCGCACGCCGCGCCGCGTCAAGGCCACCATCGTGGCCGTGTGGCTCATCTCGGCCGTCATCTCCTTCCCGCCGCTCGTCTCGTTCTACCGCCAGCCCGACGGCGCCGCCTACCCGCAGTGTGGCCTCAACGACGAGACCTGGTACATCCTGTCCTCCTGCATCGGCTCCTTCTTCGCGCCGTGCCTCATCATGGGCCTGGTCTACGCGCGCATTTACCGCGTAGCCAAGCTGCGTACGCGCACACTTAGCGAGAAGCGCCCTCCCGCCGGCCCCGACGGCGCGTCCCCAACCACGGAGAACGGGCTAGGCATGGCGGCGGGCGAGAACGGGCACTGTGCGGCCCCGCGCCCCGACGTGGAACCGGATGAGAGCAGCGCGGCCGAGAGGCGGCGGCGCCGGGGCGCGTTGCGGCGGGGCGGACGGCGGCGCGCGGGCACCGACGTGGGCGCAGGTGGCGCGGACGGGGCCGGGGCAGGCCTGGGAGCCTCAACGTCCGAGTCGGGCACACTGGCTGCGGCGCGGTCCCCAGGCCCCGGCGGGCGCCTGTCGCGCGCCAGCTCGCGCTCTGTCGAGTTCTTCCTGTCGCGGAGGCGCCGGGCACGCAGCAGTGTGTGCCGCCGCAAGGTGGCCCAGGCGCGCGAGAAGCGCTTCACCTTCGTGCTGGCGGTGGTCATGGGCGTGTTCGTGCTCTGCTGGTTCCCCTTCTTCTTCAGCTACAGCCTGTATGGCATCTGCCGTGAGGCCTGCCAGCTGCCCGACCCCCTTTTTAAGTTTTTCTTCTGGATCGGCTACTGTAACAGCTCGCTCAACCCGGTCATCTACACCGTCTTCAACCAGGACTTCCGGCGCTCCTTCAAGCACATCCTCTTCCGACGGAGGAGAAGGGGCTTCAGGCAGTGACCTGCGGCTGCCTTGCCCGGAGCTCCTGAATAGCTCTGAGCCCTAGCTGGGCAGACGGATCCCAGCCTCTCCAGAGACCCAGGGACGGACTGACTGGCCTCCAGGACGCAAGGGAGGGTGCAGCAGGGCAGGAGCTGGGTGGGAGATGGCGAGGCCTCCTCCGGGAGCGGGAAGGAGAAAAGGAAGACCCCTTTGCCTTCCCAGCTCAGCAAGGGGCTGCTTATTTAGGACTCCCGGCCTGGTTTCAGCTGCTGGGGGCTCTGCTGGGGTGAGGCTGTGAGGTCAGGGTTTTGGATGGCAGTGAGGGCTGCAACCCCCCAAAACACAGACCACCACTCTGTCCCCATGTGAACAAAGGGCTGACTTCCCAGGACCCAGGGGCGTGGCAGTTTGGTGGGGGAAGGGGGAGAAGGAAGAGGGCGCTGACAATCTCTGATTACTGAAAGTATTTAAACGTTTGCCAAAAATGATGACAGCCAAAACAACCAAACTATTTTCTAAATAAACCTTTGTAATCTAAGTGTTGGGTGCAGCCGTCAGTCCTTAAACCCAGGGGTGGGGGACCCTCCAGATCCTCACCTACCTAGTCCCCGCCAAGGCCTGGAGGAGGGCTCTGGGGGGCTTCCAGGTTCCAACTTCCCCTCTTTCATAATGAGGAGAGGAGTCTTTTTTAAAAAACTAAGTGCTTTCTGTACATATAGATTAGCTCCTCAAAACTCTATGCCGTAAGTGGCTAAGGAGCAAAGAATGGAGGGTCTTCAGGCTGAGTCCAAATTTAGATCTGAGGGGACTGTCTTACCCTCCCTGCGTGCCCAAGCCCCCAGGGAGCTGTGGCTCATCTCCACCACCACCACCCTGGGGCCTGAACACTTGGGGGCTTGCCTCTTTCAGGAAGTAGGGAGGGATACAACCTGCCCCAAGAAGTAGACTCCCTTGCAGATGGGGCAGGGTTGCTACCCAGGGAGGCCCCCAGCCATTCCCCCATTTGCTTGCTGGGTTTGGCCAGAGAGAGTTTGAATACCACCAGTGGTCATTTCTGAACCAAAGCCAAGGTCATCAAAACCCAGAGCAATGTGGGTGGGAGTGGGGAATCTTCAGGAGGGCTGGAGAGTAGGGCTGGAGCCTGGCTGTCCCCCACTGCCGCCAGGGTTTCTCCGCTGCAGCACCTTGCTCAAGCCTCACTCCCCAGCATGAAATCCTCTTGCCCCCCACCCTGTGGAGTCCTGGATCCTCACGGGGTCAGGACTCCACAGGCTCTCCCAGCTCACACTTGCAGATCCCTGCTGCTTCTGCGATAGCTGGAGTGAAAGGGTGCAATCAGGACCTGGCAGAGCAAGGACCTATGCTCCAGCTATGGGACCACCCAGACATTTTCCCCTCGTCCATCCTCTCTCCTCCCAGGCTTTTCCATATGTACCCCTCCCCTCCCAGCCTGCCTCTCTGGGTCTCCACAGATCTGTCCTGGGTCTAGTATGTATGGCCCAGGGTCTGTCCTGGGGAAGGCCAGTCCTCAGTCCTGCCTGTTATCTCCAAGCCCCTGTCCTCTGAGTCACGGGACCAGAGCAGAGCCATTTCTAGTCTGAGCTGCCCCTTGAGAAGGACTCCCCCCTCCCACACACAGCTGCCTTGGCTCCATCACCCCACTAGGTATCTTCAGGATACCCCAACTGGGAAGAGCCATCTCAGACCACACTGCCATTTGGAGTGGTGACATTCATACCCTACTGTGTGCTGGGCTTAGACACAGGTGGGGAAGCACCTGGCCATGGTGAAGAGAAAGGTACTAACATGGCTGGTGAAGGTTGATCACAGCATCCTGACTTGCCACTGGGCCTGGGCCTCGCACTCTGCTTGTGAAAAGGGAGGCTCTGGAAGCTGTCCAGGCCCTGCTGGGCCACCAGTCAGGTCAAACCTGCTAGCAGAGTAAGGGGGCTTTGGGGGAGACCTCCCCTGAAAGATGGCAGGGCCAACACCACTGGGAAGACAGAGGAGCCCAGGGAATCACCTGCCTCCTTACAGAGAAGCCCCCAGACCCAGGCTACACAATGCCCACTGGGCTTGTAGGATGGACCCCCAAATTACTGGTGAGGTGGGGAGGTAGCCCCCTTTTCCTGGATCTCAGGACTCCCAATCCAACCCAGTACACCTTTGCCTTGGGAAGAACTATATTCTTGGAGCCCATGAGTGCTGCTAGTCTGTAGGGAAAATGTGCTCCTAAGCGCATTTCATGGGGTTCGGAGAGGTGAATAAACCTGCCTGTGGTCACAAAAAGGGTGATAAGACTCAGACAGGACTCGGGTCTCCTGGCTCCAAATTTGGTCATAAAATAACAAGTATTTATGCAGTGTGTCTCCACCAACCTTTTCTGCAACTTCCCACAATAGAGGAGAAGACCCCAGGCAGGGTGGGTCAGAGGCAGGAAAGTGCAAGGAGGCCATCCTGGTGGTAGAGGTGAAGCCTCTGATGCTAGTGTGAGAAAGGGGAGGAGAGACGCAATTAGGAGGCTGAAAAGAGGTTGGGGCCAGTGGCTCACATCTATAATCCTAGCTATTTGGGAGACTGAGATTAGGAAGATTTCAGTTCAAACCCAGCCCAGGCAAATACTTTGCAAGACCTTATCTCCAAAATAATCAGAGCAAAATGGACTGGAGATGTGGCTCAAGCAATAGAGCACCTGCAAAGCCCTGAGTTCAAAACCCCTGTCTACCAAAAAAAAAAAAAAAAAAGGCTGGGCCATCAGGCTTTTATTTGAGGCCCTGAGAGGCTGGGTGGTCTGCAGAGGAAGTGCACTGGCCCTGGGGCTGCAGCTGCTCTGTCACTTGCTTACAACTGGGTGGCCTGGGAGCTGCAGGGCCCCTCAGCTCAATGCGAGTAGTGACTACCCCTGTGCGCTCGGAAATAGCAACAAACTCTGCCCCTTTCCTTGTCTACTCCCAGGAACCACACAGGCTGCACTGCTGGACTGCTCAGCATTCCGCCCAGCCATCAGAGGTTCAGCACTCAGCAGGGCAGGGCTGGGTGGCTGCCTGGAGAGGTGGCTCTTCAGCTGGATGAGCAGATGAACTCCACTCCCACCCCGCCTGCAGGAGGGCGCACCACCTTGCCGAACCTCAGTGTCTTCATGGATGAAGTGGGGTGTGGAAGTCTTCTGGAGCTGCCGTGAGCCCCGACTGCTCCTGCACACAGGCTCTGGAAGCATCTGCCAGGACAACTACTCTGTGTCTGGACCAGGGCTCCACTGCTGTCGCCTGTCCACACCCACGATGGCGCTCATCTTTGTGGCCTTCTCTCTCTCCCAAAGCCACAGTTGTGGTCAATCCATCTGTGGTTGAAGAAACTGGGAAACAGGGTAAACTGTGTGTCCTGGGATTCTCCGGTGTGGGGGTACAGCATAAGCCATGATCCCAGAAAGGCCCAGGCGCTTATCCCTCAGATCCAGCATTGTAGGTGACACAGGACATGTCTCCAGGCCTCGAAAGAGAGGCCTTTTACACACCGTTCCCCCTTGGGGCTCCTCGGCCTCCCAGGAGAGTTCAGGCAAAATGAAATGAAGGGGTGATGAGAAGGTGGAGGAGGCCAGCCCTGAGTGCAAGGTTCTGCGTGCTCACTGGATTTCTTAGGATCCCGGTGCGCCTGCCGGGAGCCGGTGCAGATGCAGCTTGCAGTGTGCATAGTGTGCCTGTGTCGAGTTATCTCTGGAGGCAATTGGTGAGCTGGTAGAGGGGGAGAGCTAATCCGAATTTTCTCTTCCAGCTCAGTGTGGAAGGCGAAGCAGAGCTTCCTGGAGCTGGCAGAATTGGTAATTCTTCACGGAAGCAGCTCCAAGCTCTGGAGCCTGCCCCCAGCTCCGGGGCGGGGGCGGAGGGATGGGAGGCGCGTTGCCCTGGCACTTGCTGGTGAGGAAGCCGCCCTTCCCGGCGGTTCTGGCAGCTGGCTGTATTTTTATATCACATCCATCGGCAAGGCTCAAATATTGCAGCGCAGCCTTGGATCAAAACACATGGCGCCTGCAGGCCCGTCTTCAGTCTGGTTGGGCAGCCGGGGCCTTTGTGGAGCTGAAACCTACTTCTAAGAGCCTACAGGTCCCCCATATGCAAGGGGCAGGGGAGGTGGCATCTCCAGGGTGTGGACGCCATGGGCATCGTTCATGCCCCAACCTGTGGGCTCTCCATGACCAGGAAGGACCACTACCTCCTGGGGAACATCTGGGGTGCAGTTCTTGGGTGTGGGGTGAGGCTCCCATGGACAGGAGGGTCCTCAGAATTGAGGAGACCCCAGTCTCCGAGACCAGGTGAGGGTGTCCCACTCTGGGTCTGTAGTGAGTGCCTGGGGACCTCAGGTAGCCCCTGCACTCCCACACCTGTGGATCAGCGCCCATCTGACCAGCAGGGCTGTGGAGAGCTGAGAGCATCCCCTGGGTGAGCCAAGCCGGCTCCATCTCCCACACATTCTCCCTGCCTGGGAGGGGCTGGTGTGACAGGGTCAGGGGCCCCTCTGGCAGGGCACAGCGTCATCCTCTGAAGTCAGCCTGGGAAGCAGAGTTGACTGTTGACTCTGAGCCAAAAGAAAGCCCTGGGGACCAAAAATGTATTTCTTTCTTGCCAAGAGGATTTGTGGCTGCGCCCAGGGGAAGCCTGGGCACAATGGGATCATTATGGTCAAGATAAGAAATTGGGTTTAGGGTGGAGTAGAAGTGTGGCAGAGAGTTGGGTTAAAGGCATCCTGTTTTAGGTCAGAGCACACAAAATGTGCCCAGAGCTGCCTGGTAGCCATGGAGAAAAGGGAAACAGGATATCTCCCCACCCCCTTACAAATTGATGCAAGGTTCACAGAAAAAGCTGGAAATTGGGGTGTCTGCAACTGGGCCCACTTGGAAGACTGTTGATACCACAAAGCCTCCTCAACTCTGAAAAATATGGCCACAGAAAGGACTTGGGGGACCTCAGAGAACCCAACAGGGGCATTCATGTCACAGTCCCTGTAGGAGTGGGGGAAATGGCTGAACCCCAGTCGTGGGCCTAGCCCTTATTATTTATTGCAGCCATGTCCCCCGCCCCCCAAGATTTGGACCTGGGGAGGCTGAGGGTAACAGCAGCTTGCACCTGCTTCTGTTAACTAATGGTCACCCTGTGCCCCTGCTCCAGGCTGTGTTCCCTTCCTGCTTTCTGTCTCTGCCTGGCCACCAGGCAGCATCTTAACGCGCCCATCAGTGCCTCTGGCCCCGCCTCCCCAGTTGCAGGTCCCCGGTGCCCGCTTGTAAACTCCACCACTGCCACGTCCCATGCAGGGTCACAGGGAGGCCTACGGGGACAGTGTGCCATCTCAGCCAGGTGGCTGCTGGGTAGAGCGGGCCACCCTCTCCCACACAGAAGCCCCCAAAGGATAATTCCTG